GGAGCCCAGGACAGGCCCCTACACACAGAGTACGCCTTCCAAGGAGCCCAGGACAGGCCCCTACACACAGAGTACGCCTTCCAAGGAGCCCAGGCTCAGTGCTGTGACAGAGCTTGGCTTCCTCAAGTCCATTTTGCCCACTGACCCGCCCCACCTTAATGCTACGTGTGTGGTGGTTTGCAGCCCACAGGCAGCGAGGACGGTCCACTCTGCGCTTCCCAGCAGCCTCCTTTTGTGTCGCCGCGCAGTCCGGCTTGTCGTCCATGCGGGTTCCCCAGTACGTACAGAGCTGTACCGCGCCCACGTTCACAGCGGTCAGCGGCTCTGCTCTGCCTGAAGTCCATCCCCATCTGCTCTGTCTTTCTGACATCGAGCCGCAGGTCCGTCTTACATCACCTGACAAAACACTGAGCTTTTTACCAGCACATCTCACTCACGGGGTTATTGGAGAGCAGGGCTGCTGTCTCCGAGTCGCGCTTATGGTGCGTGTGCCATGTGACGGACCGCAGTCCAATGCATGTGGCCCCTGGGACCCAGCGTCCTGTGACCTTGCATTAGTTAAGTGGTTTCAGGAAAATGAAACAAATGATCCTCCATTAAATTTTCATTCTTTGTTCAATAATCAGATAAATGGCCACCGGCCTGCAGGTTCCCTTTCCTCTCCCGGCTCCTGCTGCTGCCTCTCCTGTCTTTCTCCGTTCTGTATATAATTTTTACTTCAAAGCCACTTGAACACTCGCTTTACTGGTGGAATTTCAATTTATTATGCTGCAGCTACCCATAATTTTCCTGATGGGCTATTTGTGTGTGTGTGTGTGTGTGTCCATGTCAGTATCACTGAGACCAAATGTCCCATTTTTATGGTCCCCACAAGGGGAACCTCAATTTTATAAAGATCTGTGATTGCAATCAAAAAAATCTAAAAACATCAAACGACATATTTTGTTTGGTTACTTCCGGTTAAGGGTGTTGTGATTGGGATTAGGGTTTTTCCCATAGAAATGAATGGATGGTCCCCATTTAGATAGGTACGCCAATTTGTGTGCCTGTGTGCGTGTTTGTGGAGCTGCAGGAAAATAAAAAATAATTTTTTTTTATTGAGGTTTTGTTGAGGTTTAGGAGGGAGCTGTGAATTAATGAGTTTTATCTTTATGTTCCTCCTGCGTCCAGGTAGCTGCCTCCCGTGTCGGCAGGAGCACACAGGTACAGCCAACCCTCCATAAATCATGGGTCTGCCTTGGACTGCAAGTGTCACAGTTTTATGTGACTGATGCCGCCACGGCCCCACAGTGCCATTTGTCTGCGTTGGGGACCTGCGGGCGGAAGAGCGTTAGGGCAGATTGCCGCTGCTTTGTGTGTGAGGGAGTCTGAGGGTGTCCATGGGCGTATCTGAGAAATTCAGACAGTGGCACCCTGTGCACTGCGGCTCTCCCTTAACCCTGGGTGTTAGACACTGTAATTCCCGCATGCCGGCCTGCACAGCACACTGCCCCTGCTGAGCAAGAGGTCAGAGGTCACGGCATCATCAGCACCCAGATGCGGCTCAGCCAATCAGGGTGGTTTTACATTTAACACAAGCTGCAAGGAAATTCAGAAACACCTAGGAAGGGGGAGGGGGGCAGGAGACAGAGGGCGAGTGAATGGCCGAGCTTAGAGTATGGAAGCCTTTGAGGTTCAGTGTCAAGGACTTGAAGGCCTGGAGAATCGGGGATCCAAACCCAATGAAACGGCACCCAACCCTAACCCCCCCCCCTCCGCCCTGTAGGAGAGCGACGGTCTCTGCAAAGCTTCCTCAGAAAACCCTCTTTGATTCTGGCAGCTGAGGATCTCACAGATGCTGATCTTAAGCACCGCAGTGCCCCCTTCAGACAGAGGGCGAGTGCAGGCGAGCCCCCTCCCCTGGATTAATGAGGGTCTGTGCTGTACCTCTAACTCAGTGTGAAGGAGAAGCAATCCAGCGGCTTTCTGAGCTAATCTGGCCCCTTCTGGGGTGAGACGGCTGGGGTATCTGGGCCTCTTAAGCTATGTCTGCCTGGGGAGGGACCTAGCCCTGGGGCCTGAGATCATCAGGGCGGGGGGCAGAGTGACAGGGAGGAAACAGGTGCTCTACTACAAACACACACAGCAGAAATAGATCAGGGCTTTCCAGAAGCTACACAGTATACTCATCCAAAGCCTAACTGCCCCCTCATCCCTGTCAGCAGAGGTTATGGTCGCCCTCATGTCCTGCTGTCATGCTAACACCTTTCAGCTCCTCTCCTGTTCCTCACCGGAGTCTCCTCCAGTGTACACCTGGCATCACTAAGCTTTATCAAAGCTGCGGAGGTTGATGGTGCATTTGCTTGCTGAAGCAACCAGGATTGTGACTAAGGGTGACATTTAAGCCCGGCGTGGTTGTTCTCTGGGGGCCACCTGCTTTATTTAACCGGTAAGCAACAGTGATTGAGCAGCATTACCGCTGCTCGCCGAGCGCTCTAGTACAGGAGCTCTCCGCGAATGTAATGACGCACTGCCATCTGGTGGCTATCTCGCGCATTACAGCTATTCCTCGCAATATTTCACGCGTGTGTGCGGTAACAGCCGGCTTTCTGCTGCCATCTAGGGTCTCCGATCTATTTGCACCATCACATACATGTGCGCTTTTTAATCAAATGTTTAAACGGCATAAAGGAAAACGTTTGTTATTTCTACCCAATGATTTAGTCCCATTATTATAGATATTTACTGAAATCATGGGTAAAATAATATTTTTAGAATTCCCTAGGTAATATTTATCCACAACAGTGCTCTGAATATGCAGCTGGAAGTTGAATGTATAATATCTATAATAAAAAAACGTGAGTCATCGTATTATGAGGAGAAGTGCTTTATGGTAAATTGCTTTGGCTTGATGACTGAGTCTCATAAGACACAGTAAGAATTACAGTAAAGGCCTATAAAAGCATATATGTAGCTATTATACTTTTCTTAGTTATTTCAGGAGTATCGAGGTTAGAATTTGGCAGTTTGAATGTGATAAATGGAAATGACCTGACCTTTCTCTCACCTGCATGGTATCATTCTTTCATCGTATTAAAATGGCCTGTAAACACACATCAGACCTCCAATTCCTGCTCCTAACTCGACACCTGCTCTACCTCCATCTTTACTCCTTCCATGAGAGGCCCAGGGTCTGTGCAATGAAGGAGAAGATATGGGTGTACTCCAGGATGGCCTTGGCGGTGGGCTTGCCCGCGCCATGCCCGCTGCGGGTGTCCACCCGAACCATCAGCGGCTGCGTCTGCACCGGGCTGTTCCCCACACTGTACTGCAGGGTGGCGCAATACTTCAGTGTGTGCAGAGGAACCACACGGTCGTCATGGTCAGCTGTGAGCAGCAGCATAGCGGGATAGGGGAGGCCCTGATACGGGGCGGGAGGCAAGTTGTGCAGGGGGGAGTACCTGGGGAGGGATGGAGGAGAGTGTGATGGAGGCAGAGGGATGGAGAGCATGAGTGAGACAGGGATGGAGATCGTGATGGAGGCAGAGGGATGGGGAACGTGATGGAGGCAGAGGGATGGGGAGCGTGTTGGAGGCAGAGGGATGGGGAGCGTGATGGAGGCAGAGGGATGGGGAGCGTGATGGAGGCAGAGGGATGGAGAGCATGAATGAGACAGGGATGGAGATCGTGATGG